TAAAAGTTGAAAATGAAATGTTGTTAGAAAACTGTTATTGGGATTAAATAATGGCAAAAGAATGATGATGATAAGTAATCACAATGATTATGGTTGGTAAAGCAATAAGAATGGAGTTGGAAAAGGCTCGATTGATTGTTGTTTGTACTAATTTGTATTGTAAAAAAGGTGTTGATGAGGAGTTGTGCGTTACCAACAATTGATGGTCAAAATTCATGTTAAAAGTACAACTTGTTAACATTTATTTGCTCTTCCGCAGGTTGGTGGTAATAATAATAGATAATATTAATCATTCTAATATCATCTTTACCTGCATTACTATCAAAAGCAATTGTAAAAACCATGAAAGGAAATGTAGTTGAAAACGTCATCTTTTTATCCGTTTTTCTTCCTCCTTACTGCTCATCACCATCACCATAACCATCATCATCTTCAGCAGCATCATCACCAACTCCTTTTTATCATTTAAAACGCGTGCAGCACGTTATTGTTAATTTAAAAGATGAACGGGTCAATCGTTTTAAGCTCAACTTTCAAATGGTTGGTTATCTGGTTGAATAAACTCTCCAAGATTTTCATTTCGATTGCTTAATTTTCAATCTAAATCACAAACAAATCAAGAATTAGGAAGCAAATTATTAAAGCAAAATAAAAAAATATTACATTACCAATTGAAAATAATTTTTTTCAGGTGAAATTTGACTAACCAAGTAAAAAATTGCCAAAAGAGTTAACAACAGCAACTGTTGCTAGTGAAACATGTGTTGACGGTTCAAACGGTTCTTGAGTCGTTTTAAAAATTTAATAATAGTTAACTGTTTCCTATTAATCACCGTTAAATACATTATCAAATATTATAAGCATTATTTTTAAATATAAATGAACAAAATCAATTGATTAAGTAAAAAACGAATGTAAAATAAATTGAAAAAATGATGTTGACAAAAAAGCCGTTAACAATGATTTTGATTGGAGCTTGATTTTTGATTTTTTGAGGCGCCATTTTTAACTTTGGCAATTTTTTATTTTTGTTAATTATTCTGGTGTTGATTAATGTCAAACCAGAGTAAATAAGCTTTTTGCAATGATTGAATTTCTCTAATTTGTTCATACAAAGTCTTTGAGTTTACCATGTTTATAATTTATGCAGACAGTGAATCGACAAAAAACTAATTCCATAAATCACAAAAATGCAAATTCAACATTCAATGAGATTGTCTGAATTTGAGTTTTAAATGTCATTTCAATGGTTAAGTCCACAAATGTGATCATTTAAGCATGAAATTCAATTGTGTTGTTAATCAGACTCCGAAAGGTTAACAAAAGTCAATTTACTAATGTTGTATGAATTTATCATTCAACTTACTCTTCAATCAAGATGAACCCATTCAAATATAATTGAACATTGAATAAGATTAGATTCATAATTTTTGAGAATAAAAAATGAATAAAATTAAAACATTAAGATGCAAGTAAAAGAAGAGATGATTAAGTTGATTAACAGAATACAATAAAAAAGCAAAATACTCAATGATTGACCACAATTGACCATACAATTATAATGGCAACAGATAATAATCATAAAAATCATGAATATCGCAATAATAGTTACAATGGTAATCATCAGTTAATGGTCAATGTTGAATGATATCAGAATGATTTGTAAAGCGATTCAAACGTTTTCTCAATTTAACTCGATGATAACATTATGAATAAATTTCAAGATCAAATTGAATTAGTGGAACAATGATTAATAATGAATCAAATCGTTACCTCAAAGTAAACAATTAAAAATGGCCAACATCCAAATTGATTAAACCAAGTGTGTTAATCAAGGTAAAATAAATGAGCCAATTTGGCATTTGTCACCATCAAAAGTGGTTTCATTTGCGAGTCATTTTTTTGCTACCAAATTGTCATTGTTACTGTTGACAATTTGAAAGTACAATTAAATTTGATTGAAGTTGAGAGAAACGCAATTAATCCAACAATCAATCTGGTTTTCCTTTTTGGTTTGAATCAAAGGTGAACAAAATTAAAGTTGATAATAAATAATCAACCAATTACTAGGTTATCCAATTGCTACTGTTTCATTGATAGAGTTAGATGAAAATTGTTGATAAAACGTTATTCATTGAGATTAAAATGTAAGTTAGTCAATAACAAGGTTGATACAAAAAAGCATTTAAATTGTAATTTTAATGATGCTTCAATGTAACAATATCAAGTTTAAAAATGATAGCAATTAGCTTAATTGGTCTTCAAACAATGTTCAAACCCTTATCAAGAGCTTCATGTTCACAATGAATAGCACTTTTGAGATACTCTAAGCCATGTTTTTCATTCAATTTTTTCACTTCAAGTCTTGTTGACAGCAATCAAACATAGTATAATGATTAAGGAGTGAGGATTTGAGCCACTCGAATGATCTTTCCCTTTCCATGAGATCAAAGATCCATATGGCAATAGTAACTCAAGAAGCATGATGTAAGTTCAATTCAATTGAAAAGATTAAATAATTTTCCAACAGTTTGGATGATAATAAATCAGTATTGAAGCAAAAAAGGCCTGAAAAAAGCCTTGAGTATAAATTAAACCAAGATCAAGTTAGAACAGTTGTTAACCATGAAAATTTCAGCTTCATCATAACTCAAATATGTACGATTGTTAGCAAATAATTCAAATTATCGATCACTTGTGCTTACAAGTTACTCTTATGGTTGTTATGTTTACTATTAATAACACAAAAGATAATCCATCTTTTCAAATGATTTGTGATTCTTTGACTGATTTAGACTCAGCCATTTTAATTTAACAATTTTAACCAACTGTCAGAGGTGACTGAAACCTGGACAGTAATGAGACAACTTTGTGAAGCTTTTCAAGTTTGATCAACTCTTAAAGAGTTGAATTTGAACCTAAATTGTCTTTGATTTCACTTGGATTTCAATTTGTTAAATTGCCATTTGACTGTTGATATAAATTGAAAGTTGAAATAAAAAAGAGAAACCAAAAAATAAGAATCAACTTGTCTTGATGCTTCCCTATTGAGCCTCTACAGATTTATCGGTAAATAGTGTTGATAATTAGCTAATTAGACTTTTTACTTTTTAAATAGTTGATTGTTTCAAATTGGGATGATACAATACAATAATTTAAAATAAGCTCGTCAATCTAATCATCATTTTAAACGAGTGATTCAACAAAGCGAAACGATTCACAAAATGGAAACCTTTAGTGTGATTGATTGAAAAATGGTTGAGTTGAATTTGGTTAAAGTTAATCCACAGTGATTGACAGTGATACAAATTGATATCCAACTGGATATTAATGTAAATGAAATGAATGAAAAAAATGACTAGACTTGGTTAAATATTTGCAATAAAAGTGTACTTTTTTCAAGCAGATGAACCGGTTCATTGGGTTATTTTGTCATGGAGATGATGGTTATGGTGATGATGATTATTATTATAATGATTATGGGGATCAAATTGTATTACGAGTTGATTATCAAAGGAACCAAGCCTACTACTTTGGACTAGTCATTGTTATAGTTTATCAAAAATCTGAAACATTTATACGCTTTTACACGAACATTTCAATAACGAAACATTTTCTTGCAGTGAATTGTAACATATCAATGGTTAAGGTGTGCCAATGAATCACGATTTCACGTAGAGATTTTTCATCTTAATCATCATCATAATCTTCCCTTGTAATAATGAGATTGATGTTCATCTTGAATGATGATAGTGAAACTGATTAGAGGATTTAGCTTTTCATTTCATTGACCTTTTTTGGATGAGCTTTTTGTAAAATACATTTTCTGGTTTCATCTGTTTCCAAGATTGCATTTTGAATTTAAATTTCATCTAATTGTGTGCTAATTTGGGTTTGACTCTGGTTTATTGAGTGTGTAATTAGAAAAGATTTGGAAAAGATTTGGAAAGTCAGATTAAATTTGATGGTTCCTTTCAATTGGATGAACCTTGTAATCTGTTAAAGTATAGAATTGTGAATATCAATAGATTTGACCTGGAACCATTTTAATTAGAGTAAAACAATTGTTTTCAATTCACTTCTTCATTAGATCAGGTTAATTTAGAGGCTGGTTCAAACATTGGATTGGTGATATCAAAATGTTTTCAGTTTTTTTTGGGTTTAAACTCATTGGGTTCTTACCTTTTACTTATTTTAGCCAAAAATGTTTGCTTCATTTGTACTTGATTTGGGTTGACACTTATTAGCATGGGTTTAGATTGTGATAAACAGAACAGAAATCGTTTCAATTGTTGATCCAGTCAGATAGCCCACACAGTCTAATGAAAATGGGACACACATCATGATGGTAGAGCAAACACACAATACAAGTTACTTTGGTAGTGATCAACAAGTTAAATTTACAATGCTATCGGTTGTATTATAAATTATTGAAGTTGTTTTGTTCACAAGGAGTGGAGTAGACAATTGATTGCTACAGTTAATTTACTTAACAATGTGTTAACCATTCAAGTGAAGGAGACAATGACGATTCTTTTTCGATCAAAGCTAGTTCCTAGTGAAAACCATATGAAAATTACGGCTCTTAGGTAAAAAAATGCAAAAATAAATCATTATCACTGCAAATGTATCAGGAATGATTGTATTATGGTTAACAATAAAAATAGATTATACTTTCAATGTCAATTGCTTATCGTCCGACTGTGAGTTTTGATGAATAATCCAATCAATTTTGATTGCCAATCCATGACATGATACTGATAATGTACATGATACTCACAGGTTAATTAGCGATTCGAGTTAGACTGAATTTTAAAACCAATCTTAAAAAGCATATTTGAAATAATTTTGATTTAAATCTATTTAAAAATCGAATTCCATCTGAATTTTGGAAAATTAAAGACACTCAATCCATCCAAGCCAATTTCATTAAAGATGAACTGTTAAGTTTAAAATTGATTGTTTAGCCAACATACACTACAATAGAAATAGAAAATTAAAACAATGAATTAGTCAAAGGATTTTAATTGTGGATTGGTTGTACCGGAATCTATATCAATGTTTTTATCACTTGAATGAAGACCGATTTTCTCATTTTTTTGATTTTGTGAACAAATTTGGATATTTTGAAATAATTGAAGATGGCAGAAAAAAAACCTCAGCAAAGTGAAAAGAGACCAGAAGATTGTCCATGTACACCTGAGGAAGTTGCCATGTTGGAGCAAAAAGGTTTCAAGATCGGTGAAAAAATAAATTTTGGTAGCTTCTCAAAAGTGTACAGAGCCAAATTCAAAGGCAAAGATATAGCCGTTAAAGTGATTGATTTAACTAAAACATCTAATGAATACCGTTCCAAGTTTTTACCCAGAGAGATTCAAACTTTACAGAAATTAAAACATCCAAATATTGTCACAATTCACAAAATAATGACGATTAATAAAAAAATTTACATTTTTATGGATTTAGCTGAAGGTGGTGATATTTTGGATTACCTGAAAGCTCATGGAGCAATACAAGAACCTCAGGCCAAGGTTTGGTTCAAACAAGCAGCTGAGGCATTAAAGTAAATTTCTTTCATCATGTTTAACTTGAATCTTTCTTCCAGTCCTCTTGACTAAAATTATTTTCTCTTTCAAAGGTACATCCATGACCATGATGTTGCTCATCGGGATCTAAAATCAGAAAATATATTATTAGACAAATTCAAGAATGTTAAACTAACAGATTTCGGATTTTCAAGAGATTGCTTCGATCACCGTACAGGCAGAGGAGTTTTATCTGAAACCTATTGTGGCTCAGCAGCTTATGTAGCACCTGAAGTACTACGAAGTGTCCCATACAATCCAAGATTGTCTGACATTTGGTCTCTTGGAGTCGTTCTTTATGTAATGGTCAACAATATTCTTCCTTTTGATGATTCAGATTTAACCAAAATGATAACTCGACAAATCAATCGAAGCTGGAATTTTTCCTCCAAGGTAGAAGACAAGTTGTCAACCGAATTGAAAGATTTGATACGACAAATGTTAGAACCAGATGCCAATAAAAGACCAACCATAACTAAAGTCCTACGCCATCCATGGTTAAGAGACACAAGCGGGGTAACAGGAATCAGTTTAACAGCCAAAACCAGTAACGTGGTCGGTAAAAAGAAATAGATAAATCAAGTGTAAGAGAAACAAAAAAATCAATCACAAAACAATTAAATAACGGTTTCCATTAAAAACAAAAAGCACACTTTAATTTAAATTTGTTAACAAAACCAGATAATAGATGTCCTTCCAAACCTTTAACCAGAACCTAAAACAGCAGCTAGCTCCATCTATTCCCCTAACTGGTCAACTTTTGCAAAGCAAATCCAATATTAAAATCAAAGATTAAATAACGATTTGAAAACCAATTAAATTGCAAAGCTAAGCAAAAGTCCAGTCCAAATTTAACCCATTCCCTTACCCTTTAAAATGACCTCTCAACCAACAAAGATAACCTTATTTATTGAACAAATATTAACCGAAAATTAATGTAAACTCTTAATCAAAGGCAACGATTGAAAGGCAACCAAACGCGTTTAATAATTAATGTAAATTTCAATCAACCTTCAGTCAACAATTTACTCATCTTAAATACATTATAAATGTGTGTATTAGATGATAATAAATGCAATTGAAGGTTTGAATGAGTAGCGGAGCAAAAATGAAGACACATTACACTTAATATAATGGATAAACCAAAATGAATCAAGTTTTACAAAATGAAAGGGGAAAAAGCCAAACAAATTTATTATTAATCCAGTTAAGATACAAAACAAAATGCAACATAACAATAAACGTTGAGAGCACTTTAAATAATCCATCAACATTATCATTAATAATTTGGTAGACTTTGAAGTAAAAGTGAAATGGAAAGCAACGAAAATGAAAATGGTTTCAACCAAATTAAAGTTGAACAATTTGCAAACTGTCAAATCTAGGGTCAAAGCCAATCACTCAACAACCTCAAAGATTGGACTCTATTGTTTCAATGGTCACTTAATCAAAATGAGGTTTCAGGTGAAAAATATCCCAACAATTACATTAAAAGTCACACTTTATTACAATCACTTGCATTGAACCATCTTTGACTCTTGAACCTCATTTACTTTTCCAACCTTTGTATCTTTCCCTTTCATCTTTTGGGTAATTTTTAAACATCTTTTCAAGTCTTTTAGACTCTTTTATAGTCCTTTTCGGATTCCTCTTTTTTCTTGGTTATAATCTTGAAGTAAAATTGATGTCTGGAAATATTTTTGATGGTCTTTTAATATTTTGTATATAATCTGAAAGGTTTGACTGTAAACCTGACTGGATAAGACCATTTCAAGTTTCACATTGAATAATGGTTAAACTGATAAGCTTGAAAGGTAAAAAATATAATGACAAGAGAATGGATAAAGAATGGAAAGATTTTTACCAGAAAAAGCACCAGAAAAGCATCTCAAGGTAATAATACAAAGGTTGTTATGAGACCAGAAAAGCGATTCAGAAAATAATATTCTCGATTTTCATAATAACATGATAAAAGATGATTTCATTAAGAAAACAAAAGACGAGAAAGTAAAATTGAATTGTCGAGTTAACAATTTTTCAGCAAAAAAGGAGTAAAATTTTGTTCCCAAAAAAAAGGAAAACATTTTTCATTTTGACATAAATTTTGATGAAAAGCAAGCCAACAAAAAAGGAAAAACAAACCACCGAAAAAATGAGAAAAGTTCATTTCAATTTGTATCAATAGTAATAATATTTAAAGAAGTAAATTTGATAATTTGACTTTCCAATGAAACTAGAGTTTCTTTGTTTATTTCTTGTTCTTGAACATTTGTTGAGACAAAAAAGTTATCCAATATCAGATGAACCATGAAACAAGTGACTTACAAGAAAACGATAACAATCTGGAATCAATTTTTTTTCTTCCTCAATTTCATTTCTTCAGATTCTTCCACACAAATGATTCTTAATCATTTAGCTTTATTTAGGTTTTTTTTTTTCATTTCGTCTTCACTTTCAAAGCATTTCTTTGTCATTTCAAGTTGCCATTTGGACGATAATAACATCAACAACATTACCAACCAAGAAACGTCCAAAACAAGCTCTAGATTGATTACAAGCAGCAAAAATCTGGTAAACTTTAATAATCTCAACAAATGACCGATTCCAAGGTAGAAACAGAAAGAACCCAAAAAAAAATGTCTTTTCCTTGAAAAATGTATCCAAACCTTTACATTAAACTTGTTACTTTTCATAATTGATGTTCCCATTAAAGCAAGTTATCATTTTTCACCATCAATTTCAACCTCCAACAGATTCCTCGAGTTCAATCAGATGTTACAATTTTAATACAAAATGTTCATTTAATTTTGACTCAACTTTAAAGTCACAATTAGCTTGAAAGTGAAACTTGATTAAACTGATAGCTTAATTGAGTTAGAAAATCTTTTTTTTCTCCTTTTTTCCATTCCAAAATCTGTTCTCACAAATTTCATTTCCGATCTCATTTCATTCCTTTTGTCCTCTTTTTTTCACTTAACTTCGAGGAGAAAAAAATGTCCTAAAACTTCCGTTCCAAACTGGAATTGAAAAAGCAAACTTTATTTCAATTTTCAAGTTGAAAAAGTTGTTTCACCAAAGAGGAAAAAAAGTTTATTCAATTTTCAACTGGGAGTGATTATTATAAATTTAGATTTTACTTTTTCTCCTTCAAAGAAGCAAAAGTAATAATGAAACATTTTCCCTGATTAAGGTTCCTTCCAATAAGATACTGATGACATTTTCCCATCAAATATTGAACTTTATTGGCAATTTGTAAATATCATTTTCCCCTGTTTTCCCATTCAAATATTGTCTTTCAACTTGCGAGTTTATGGCAATACTTGAAACCAATTTTTGCCAAAAATTTGCTTCTCTTATTGTTATTTATTTTGTTGCATTTCATCTCGCCATTCATCTTTCCCTTTCATCCAAAAAGTTCAATCCTTGAAATTGAACTCTAAAAATGTAACTGAATAATTTTGTCCGGAAAAAAAGATGAAAAATTTAAGTTGAAATGCAAGCAAAGAAAAAAGTTAAGAAGTAAAAGTTGATAGATTTGTCACAAAATTGTATAAACTCATTTTTTTGTTTAAAATATTTCTTTTTATTTGATAAATTTTCTCTCCATTCCCATTCTTACCTTCATAATCATATATTAGCATATTGCCAATGAACCGGGATGTAACTGAATAAGGTTGAAACATTGAAGGTAAGTCAAAGGAACTGAGGACATTTTAAGTGACATGAGAATGACAGAAAAGATGAAAAAAGGAAGAAATTTTCCAAACTTTTTTTTCCACTTAGTTTTCCATCTTCATCTTGTTCTTCATCTTCTTCACCATCATTTTCATCATCCTATCAACATTCTTGTTTTCCTTCTTCTTCTTCTTCCAACTTCTTGTATTCATGAAAATTGTTGTTACATTGAAAGAATCAAAGTCTGAGCGAAACAAATTCAGGTTCAATCTTCTGCAGATTTAATTATATTAAAGCAATTCTTCAACTCTTTCCATTCTTTCCATTTTCTGCCTTTTCTTTACTCAGAGATTTTACCTTTTTTTCAGTTCTTATTCAACGATTCAAGGGCAAAACCTTTTAAAACTTTTTTCGTGTAAATTCATCAGCTTATTCAGTTGGGTTTTAATAAATCTCAATCTTTTTTTTCAGACTTTTTTCTTCTTCTCTTTTTTCCTCCTGTCTTTTTCATTCCTGACATCATCTTTAACTGAATTTTTCATTAATTTTACTCACCTTTAGCTTTCACATTTGGCAAGTTGATACAGATAGTTGAGGGTTGAATGGAAGGCAAAAAATTGATGATTAAGGAAGAAACAAATTTCCACTTTTACCGAATCACCATTTATTGATATTGAACTTTAGTGTTATTTCATTCTTGTTTTCATTGGATAATTGTTGATGAAAGCTTTTCATGCTGAGCAAATTGATTGCATTAAGTCAATTAGTAATTTGTTACATTGTTAGGATACTTTTTACATCAGTTTAAGCCCAGTTAAGACATTGAAAGGTTTTGCTAAACCATCTTTATTGACTGCAAGGATCAAGACTTTCAAGAGGAATTTCATTTGAAAAGTAAATTGAGAAAATTATTTTTTACTCTTGGTCAAGATGAATATCGACAGTCAAAACAGATGCTCTACTGAGCCAGGAAACCATTAAATCGAGAAGAAAAGAATAGTTCAATTTAATGCATTTGAAATCGAAAATTCGATTGTGAAAAATCGTTAAGAATCATTATTGTTTCGTATCAGTTTTACGATGATTCAAATGCTAAATGAATTCAAATTTGTCGAGAAATTGTTTGGCTTTTGGTTTATATTTGGGTTTATATCAACTTGAGAGTCAAGTTGTTTTAGTTTGCAGGCTTTGAGGTAAGTTATTGAATATTAACTTTGGATTCATTTAATAGTCATTTGGTGTTTGAATGGATTTGTTTCTGAATTTTGTCTCTTAACATTTGTTTGAAAGCTCAAGATTGAATAAATTTGAGGTGAATAGCGATGAAACCGTTTATTTTAGAGTTACATTACAAATTGATGGGAAAGTATGGGTCAATTATTTGGGTGAAATGTTGACAATGGACAGTGGACAAAGAGATTGACTTTGATGTTGGTGTTCAATGGACAAACAGCTTGTTGACCTTTCTTTTTGTGCCTTTTGGTCTCATATAATATCATACAATTTGCAATTGAATTGAAATTGAGGGAAGAAAAAAATTTCAATTTTGAATTCAATTTTAATCGATGACAAAATTAGTGGCTTTTCCCCTTTTATTTGACCTTTCCCTTTGGTTCCGACCAACATTCAATCTCAAATGTCAATAATAAGATGAAATTGTTTGAGTTGAGAAATGGAAATGAAATGGGAAAGTGAGTGGGAAAAAAGAAACAGAAAATAGTCGAAAACTTTTCATTTTTTTTCTTCTCTTCCCTGAAACCAATACATTCTCAAGTTTCAAAAGTTTCAGCTTTGATGACAGAAAATTATGAGTTGGTTGAATAGCGAGTTGATCCATGAAAAGGCCAGAAGCAGAGATGAAAAAAGACCTTTTTAGTCCAAAAAAGGCGAAAGTAACA